GCGGAAGGATCGCCGGAGCCCAGCAGGTGAGGCTGCGGTGGCCGGGAGCGGCCACTGCACTCCAGTCTGGGCGACAGAGTGAGACTCCAAATTAGGAAAATCTAGTGATTCTAAGCACTGTCACGTTGGGAAGGCCTTTTCTACAGCCATGGTGTCCCTACAGCTGAAGACTGAGAATAATACCGGCAGCCCCACTGCTGCTACCTTACTTGGGGGAGTGGTGGGCACTTTGTGGTACTCATCACAGCCAGACTGTATCACGGTCTGGGTCATGGCATAGGTATGGCTGGCTCCATAATGGAAGGGACCACCTTGTCTTTTCCATCTTCCCTCTCTAAGGCTCAACATACGGTAGCTGCTCCACAGATGTTTGTTAAATGAATGGCCAATGCCATCTTTCAGACCGCCTTGCCAACTTGGCATTTTTGAAGATCACCCTTGTTTGTACTCAAGGGGAAAAATTCCTTCTCTCTTAGTCCCCTTTGCCTAAGTGTGGCAAGAAACTCAGTAGAGCAGCTGCCTTCATGTAGACAACATGATAACATCAAGTTGACTTTAACAAACACAGATAGCCGGGTGTGGTAGCGAGCACCTGTCGTTCCGGCTACTTGGAAGGCTGAGGTGGAAGGATCGCCTGAGCCCAGCAGGTCAACACTGGGGTGGCCGTGAATGTGCCACTGCACTCCAGCCTGGCAACGGAGTGAGACTCCAACTCCAACACACACACACACACACACATGCACAAAACTCATCCAAATGGAAACATGCCCCTATTCTTTTCCTGACCAAGAATGGATCTTTCCAAGGTAGGAAAAGGGGAGGCAGGAGGCAGAAAAACTTCTGTGCTAGGAGCCACAGGAGGAAAGGAACTGAGGACAGGCGCTTAGGGTTGGGGTCCATGTGCTTCTGTGTGGGCTGGCATGAAGATGCAGAAATTGGCTTCAAGGACAGCTGAAGGAAGGGTGGGGACTCTGGCTGCTGCTCTGAAAACTTGCACAAGGGGAGGAGAGCAGTTTTAACAACACCGGCACCTCCCATGGGACGGAGCCCTTGGACCTCTATGGGAAATTACTTCATTATCTCTGGGTGTTGTGTGAGGGGGCTAGGGAAGCCACAGTCAGCGGCCTGACTGATTGACCTCTTGGTCACAGTGAGAGGACACTGCACTTACTCCTCTCTCCCCCCACAAGATAATGCTCAGAGTCTGAAATCACACAGCAGGAGCCCTACACTGCTGGGCTTGGGACCTGGAGACTCCAGAAACACCTTCCCAGGTAAAGATGCTCACACGGGCACATCATCTTAGGGGCTAAGATTTGGTTTTCCTCATTTCTTGTGGGATCTTTGAACCAGTGGCCTAATCCCTCTGAGCCTGTAAGTTCTCGTCTTACAGGGAGGATGACAGCATCTTTACGGGACTGAGAAAGGCTCAGTGAGAACATACTAGAGCATTCTCCAGTGCCCGGCATACAGCATCAGCACTCACTAAATGGTGCCTCTGTGAGGAGGGTGGGTCCACATACTGCCCCTGACCTGCAGACACACTCCCCAGTCCCACACAGACTCTCCAAGGAGGCACAGCCTGCAGACACTACTAGCTACAAAACGTGCCCGCTGCCCGTGGCGCCCCTTGACTGTGGGAGCCCGGCACGAGGGCTTAGGAAGCACTTGGAAAGAATGAGTGATGGCTTCTTGTTGCTGATGTCCTCAAGTGGATAACAAAGCACACTCTTCCTTCCTGGCATCTCCTCCCAGCAGAGGCCAAGTCTGAACGTTCCTGAGATCAGCAAAGCCCTTCCCAAGACACATCTGGGCCTCTCTTCCAGGAGAGAGCGGGAACTGCCTCCTGCCTCCCCAGGGGCCTTGGGGCCGCTCTTTCATCACTCTTTCGTCATATTCTCAGTATGATTTTTAGGAACCAGTGGGCCGCTGGATCCCCACAAGACTGCCGTTCTTTATTCTCTGCGGCCATGAGGTCGTCCACAGACCTGGATCCCATTTCTGGCTTCTGAGAAATGCTGCTTCAGGGTTTTTCTTTAGGACAGAGGCTGTCACGCAGCCCTGACACATTTAAGAAGAGAATCAGCAGTGCTCTCCCACTAAATGGCCCCCTTTTTTCCCCCACCAGACCCTGAGGTTCTTTCTAGCAGGTTCTGCCCTGCACAGGGAGCTTATGACGGTGCCTTGCACGTATGAGAGCTCAGGCAGCATGAAGACATGAAGTGAGAGGGATGCAGACCTGGGCCTGTGCCGCAAGCATGTCCAGGAAATCGCACAGGTTACCTGGGCAATGATGTCCCCGTTCTCGGCATGGACTTGAGCGATGGCCCCCAGCTCTCCCAGGCAAGTGAAGATCTCGTAGAGCTGAAACAGAAATGGGTCTCTGTCACCTTCACCAGTCACTTTTGGGAACCGCACACAAGGGCCAATTAATAGAGTCAGAGCTCAAACAAAAGGGAGAAACCAGAGCAAGTAAGTGAATGACTGGGACAGACATACAGACTAAAATAGGCACGACTAAAGAGGAGTGTCCATCCAAGGACACTTTAGAACAGGGGTCTCCAACCCCCCAGGCCGCAGACCTGTGGACTGGTCCACAGCCTGTTAGGAGCCAGGCCACACAGCAGGAAGTGAATGGTGGGTGAGCAGGTCAGGGTCAGATTAGTGGCAGCATTAGATTCTCATAGGAGCATGAACCCTATTTGAACTGCACATGTGAGGGATCTATGTTGAGTGCTCCTATGAGAATCCAATACCTGATGATCCCCCTCACCATCTGTGGAAAAACTCTTCCATGAAACTGGTCCCTCGTGCCAAAAGCTTGGGGACCACTGCTCTAGGAAACTGTCTACCTAAAGAACCTGCCGTGTCTCCTAGGCAGATAGGACAAAAAGTCATTAAGTACTATCAACCCCTGTCCTCTGCTTCTGGCACACATTTTTAATAATTTTCCCAGTGAGCTGAGCAAAAGAACTTCAGAGTCCTTCTCAACAAATGCTCTCAAAAGCCACCGCAGCCCGCCCAGAAGCTAGAACCCTCATCTCAACATTTCATGGTACATATGCCTTCACCTCCTGACCAGGAGGCACGAGAATTCATTCCTGTATTTCTTCTGAAAACTTAACGTTTATCTAAAACAAACATCTGCCACAAATATCTTAGGGCAAGCTGATAAAATGGCTCCAAATAGTGGAAGGCCCTGCTGCCCAGCACAGCCAAGAACATCACACCTCCACTGGGAAAAGGACGTGTTTGGTGGATGCAAAGCCAGGAATGCCCTTGCTCTTGTCCTTTTAAGAAGACTGCTGCCAGGGGAAATCCTAGCTTTCTGCCTGCCTGGCCATGGGCACCCTGCCTACAGCCTTACTGAAGATGCAGAATGGACTGCAAAGGCTCCAAGGAGCCCTCTGGCCCGGCAGTCTCCCGCTGTGACCACAGTGACTCGTGTTACCAGGGCCAAGGTCATCAGCAGCAATGGGAAATCCATCCACAGCAGATGGGTGGTTACCTCTGTGTTGGACACTTGATACATATCCTTGTAGGCCATGTAAACCATGAAGGAGTTGACCCCTGCAAAAAAGAGGAGGAAGACAGCATTATCACCACTGCCTCCATTGCCCATGGAGCTAAGTATGTTACCCAGGCGCCTGTCCAACATAAAGCAGATACTTGGCATTCTCCAAGAGCAGTTTACTATGCCACCCCTACCCAACCCTGTCAAAGCCACGATTCCTAGGTGATGTTATAGCAGCATGGCCTCTTCTTCTGCGCCTCTTTCCACCACTTCCTCCATTGCCAGTATTTCCCCAGTCCAGAAGATGAGTAAAGTTCAACTGTGCTCAAGGCAGCAGGTGGCATCAAGAGTCACTCCAGCACACCAGCTATGTTGGCACACTGGCGCTGCGCCCCTGGACTCCACCACAGACCGTTCAGTGAGTGCACTTGGGATACCCAACCTCTCTGAGCCTTGGTTTCCTCATCTGTAAGATGGAAAAATAACACGGCCCAACTTCATGAGGTGGGTGTGAACATGCAGGGAGACAGTACATAGAGCTCTTAGCACCGGGCTTGGCATGGAGGTGGTCTCCCTCAATGAACCTTCTGGCATTGAACTGTTTCACTGTGAAGGATGTTGGATCTAAGAGGAGGGCTGAGATATAGACCCTGCCCTCTGGAATAGCAGAGTGACCGGGCAGAAGGCACACTTCACCTTGTGCTTAAATATCTAAGTCTTGAGAGTTAACAGGAAAGAGCTATCAATTTTTACCCCAAACGATCAATATCGTGATTTACAAAAATAGGTGGGACTGGGGAGCAAAGGCTTATTTTGAGGAAAGGAGGGTAATTTTGGTCTCTACCCATTAGGGCCGTCTCAGCCCACAGTGTCCAGGCCAAATGTGGGTTGCCGCTGGAGAACCTCCCAACCCAGAGTGGTTCACCTCAGGACAGCTTTTCCCAACACGAGCCTTCCCAGAAGCCTCTGCATCACTGTGGATTGACCCAGGGCCTTTGGCAGGGAAACGGGTGTTAAAGACATTCATTTTTCCACCCCAGGCGAGATGCTTTGTGTAAAGGGAGACATGGAAAGAAGAGAGGGATTGGTCTCACACCGGTGTCACCAAGGGCTGGGCAGGGTTCATGGGGTGAGGAGAGGAATGAAAGGAAAATCTCTTTTGAGGGGTCACTCTTTCTCCTCCAGCCCCGGGCACACTCTCTCCCTGACTGCCCAGCACGGGTTTCGGGACTGCTCTTCTGACAGCAGCTCTTCATCTTGTGCCATCTGTTCTGCTGCTCTGCATGGGTCTGCGCCCTCTGCTTTGGGTCAGAGGCCATGACTGTCACCTCCCTCAACCCTCGGCTGCCTCACAGCGCTGAGGACACTGCATGCACGTGTGTGAGCATGGTGAGGCTCGGTAACTGATGATGAGGATGTAGACAGAAACAGAGAACAGAAGAACCCACAAAGACAACGGAACTCGAGCCAGGCCCTCACTGAGAGGACATGTCTTGACACACACACGGACCTGCCTCGCACCCTGAGCTCCTGGCCTGAGCACCACCACATCCTTGCTCCCTGCAATATCTTGACTGAAGATGCCAGTGTTGGTTATATAATAGTGATGGCTGGATGTCTGGAGTAAAAATGGCCAGGGTTAAGAAATCCCTCAGCTCAGGTCTGCTTGCCATGTGACCTTACGTAGTAAGGCGAGTTGGCTTTTCCTGACTCGGCTTCTTCCTCCACACAATGGGCAGAACTGGAGGGAGTGCACAAGCAGAGACTTTAGACAGACCTATCGCTTACTAACTCTCTGACCATAAGCTACTTATTCTGAGCCTGTTTCTTCACCCACGAGGTGGACCAGCAAGTCCTGTCTCTTGGGGATCCTGTGAGGAGGAAGGATCCCTCCCTCCAGTACTCAAGGTTCCAGGTACCCAGCAAGGAAGGTGACTCAGATGGGTGGCTGGGGTGGGAAAGGCAAGGAGAAGCCAGGGAGAGAGGGTGTGCGGGCTCACCTTTGTCCCTGACGAGGCTCTGCACCTCCTGCCTGACACTGTCGTTCCAACGGGTGATGTCCACGTGCAGGGAGTAGTCGCAGCAGCTCTTCCCGTCAGCCCACTCACGCCATTTCTCGTAGGCCTCGGACAGGCTGGACTCAGGCTCTGGCACCACATGGTCGACTGGACAACAGAGGCCCCGGTGGGTGACTCAGAAACAGCCTGGCACCTTGGCCTGCTCCTGCTCATAGCTGTGACTGCACTATCAATGTCTCCTGCACACAGACCCCACCTAGAAGGTGCTCCCTGGTAGCTTCCAGTATGCTGACGACTTCAGTGTCATTCAGCTATGTGCCTGTGGGTAATTTACTAACTGCTCTAAGCCTCTGCTTTCTCTCCAGTGATGTGGGTAACAAGGGGGGTGGCGACAGGGTGTAAGAGTGCCTTTCGGGCTGGACGCGGTGGCTCACACCTATAATCCCAGCACTTTGGGAGGCTGAGGTGAGAGGATTGCCTGAGCTCACAGGTTCAAGATCAGCCTGGGCAATTTGGCAAGATCTCATCTCTACAATAAATCAAAAAATAAGTCAGGTGTGGTGGTACACGCACACCCGTAGTTCCAGCTACTTGGAAGGCTGAGGCAGAAAGATTGCCTGAGTCTAGCAGATAGAGGCTGTGGTGTCCGTGAGCGGGCTACTGCACTCCAACATGGGCGACAGAGTGAGACTCCAACCAAAAAAAAAAAAAAAAAAAAAAGAGTGCCTTTCTTCTGAGTCTGTTCTAAGACGAAGTGGGAAAGTGCACATGTGTTGGATAAATGCTGGTCATCCGTAAGAGCCTGTTCTGCACCATTAGTGCTGCTCTGCAGGGCTACTTCTAGTGCCAGAAGCCACACACTCTTCCAAGGGGAAAGGAGGGGCTTCAAGCTACATCAGGGCAGAGGATGAGGCCCTTTGCTGATGCCACGGGAAAGAACTGGTATCAGTCATGTGTGCCCCACACTAGGCCCACCGATCTTATTTTGTGGAAACTTTTCATCAAGAATCTGGTTTCTTTGAGGTCCAACCTACTTTCTCACCTGCAACCACAGATGACTTTTTAAAAAAATAACAGCATCTACAGTTGGTGAGGAAAAGGCAAGTGTGACACTCTCCCAGGCCCCTGGGCAGCTGTGGCAAAGTAGAAGCTAATACAACTTTCCCAAGAATAATTTCAAAATACACATCGGAAACCGGACATTTTTCATACCTTAACCCAATAATTATTCCCATGAATGAGGCTGTATGCAAAAGTTTGTTCCCAAGGGAGCCCAGCAAAATGGCAGGCCAGCATACAGTACATGTAACATGGTCCTACTTTTGCCAAATAGGATAAGGACCATGTAGGTTATCTAGCCCAATTCTCATAGCAACGTGGGACTGTGAGGTTTCTTTTCTCTTTGCCTCCCTCGGGTTTCTCGTTTATTCACAATGGACACAAACACTCTCATGGCTCTGTGTGGGTTTCCACTCCTGTCCCAGGAACTCTGATGTTCCCCCCTGCTCCCTCCAAGCGCAGAGATCGAGCATAATGAGGATGTCAAGGATCGCATGAGGCAGAAAGTCAATCCCAGGCCGCTCACTTCCACAGCCGTCTACCAAAGGCAGCCCAAGTACACGCATCGGACAGCAAGCATGTGGTGCTGCACTAGGGACATCAGGAGCCAGTCAGGGTCCTCATGGGCAGGCAGCTGTGGAGAAGTCAGCTGGTCTCCCCCTGCCGCTGAAGAAAGCTTTGCTCTCCCTGCAGGGCACCTTTTATGGCCTTGGTGTGACTTTCCTGGGCTTCCACACCCAGCTGGCTGAGGCTGAACCCTGCTTGTGCCCTGTCCAAAGGAAGTAAAAGGCAGAGGGTAGTCCTGTTGCTCAGGCTGTCTGCACTCTCAGGGATGTGGACGGTGTGGAAATAAACAGTGCTCTGGCTGACCAAGTTTGGAGCCAGCACTGGCATGGAGCCCAGTTCGTCAAGATTCCTTTGGGCCAGGAAAGACTACCCTGGAATGCTGTGGGCTCAGTAGTCCAGTGGCATGCAGCTCCTTTGGTTTCTTTGGAATTGCAATAGTTACCAGGAAAAAACAAACAAACAAAACAAAAATGAAAAAATAAGGGAAACCTCTCCCACAGATTGCCTAATTTTAAAGATGCTAATTGGTCAAAACTCACAGTGGCCCAGGCAGCTCTTGATGCCGCGGAAGCCCACTGACCTCCCCAGTGCTGCAGGCTCCACTGTTGCCCTGTGTCCTCCCTGCCTCATGCCCACGGTTCTTCCTGTGTGCTCTGCACTCCCCCTTGCAGCCCCAAGTTGCAGTATGAAATAACTCTTTGTCCATACTTCCTAAGTCCACTTTCCCCAGTGACAAACCCAGAGGCCATATTTGTTACTGATTTCCCACCACAGTGGGAGTCCCCCTCACACCCAAGCAGACAGGAGTGGATGGCTGTGCCTCACAAGCCTCGTCTTTGTGGTTCCAGGGAGCTGCCCACTTCCTCACCGCAAGTTGCTTTTCTCTGTCCCACAACCTGAACATGTACAAGGGATCATCAGAGAGCCCTGGAGCTAAAATGCTCATTCAAAAAGGCCCCTGGGGGGCAGGGGTGTGTAAAATCAGAGGACATACTTATCATGGTGGTGCCACCCGCCAAGGCTGCCTTTGTCCCTTGGAAGAAGTCGTCCACCGTAGTCATGCCTTTGTATGGCATCTGGAAGTGGGTGTGGACGTCGATGCCTCCAGGGAGCACCATCTTCCCATTGGCTTCGATGGTCTTCACTCCTCCAGGCACAATCAGATTGTCTCCAATTTGCCTGGTGAGACAGTGAGGAACTGGTCATTTAAAAGCAACTTCCAAGACAGACAAAGAGTCATAAAGATTTTAGACAGTGTTATGATTTTAGACAGTGTTATTTATAATTTACCAAAGTAATCTTCACAAGTGACTCACAAGCTTAGCATTCTGCAAACAAAGATAGACATAGACACAGAAAGCAATTATTATGGACATAGAACAACCTGCTCTGCCATACGGTGGGGCCACGAGTCCTGGCTTACTACTGCAGCACCAGCCATTGATAGTGTCTAGAATATAGAGCGGGTAATCAATATTTTTTAAAATAGGTGGTTTTATTATTCCTTTCATGTTGCTATCTATTTAAGTGAAGGGTGAGGAATAAGACTTGGAGAAGGCTCTAAAGCGTGTAAGGCAAGGAACTGCTGGGAGACACTGAAGAAGGCAGTGAAGCGCTTAAAGAGCAAGTGTGAGAATTCAGGGGCCTTCTATGCAGGTTCACCTGTGATCCCAACAAAGGACTCTGTCTGGGTCATTTCCCAACTCAGTCTTCCCTCTCAACCTCACCCTCCCTGATTATTCATCAGTCCATCAAAGCTAGCAGCAGATTCCCAAGGAGAAGTCAAAGATGCAGATGCCACTGGCAGCATTACATGGTCCACATCCCAGAGAAGCTATAAGTCAAGGAACAGGACCATGTCAACCTCCACCAGACACGTCCTCACCAGGAAGCTTCAGATCATCCCAGAGAGGGGTGGGGTTGGCGGGCACTGAGGCAGGAATCAAAGCAATGAGTATCTCAAAGGCATACTCCCAAGGGAAGTGACAAATGTGAGTCCCACACAGCTATGACAGTCCCACACACTGTTATTTACAGATTGTTCACTGTTGCCTGGTTTACATGTGGTACCACGTCCTTGACTTCAACAGCTGGTCCACCCTGTCCACAGTGGGTTCCAGGTAGACCTATGGTTCATAAGCCTCTACACAACCATTAACATCTTCCACCTTGGGACAGATGTTCCCATTGTCCTTGCCATGGATACTTTCCCATGTGTTCATGACAAGCCAAGAAAGACACTCTTGGGGCAGTATGAGGTCCACCACTGGCCTTCTAAGCTCTAAGTTCTGCACAAAATAAAGTATTCCTGACATCTCTAAGAGATCAATTCTGCCACATCCCCACTGGGCCATGCCAGAGCCCCCACCACTCAAGCACGCTGTAGAAGAACACAGCCTCTGATCCTCCCTCCGTCTTTGTCCAGACATGGGCCAGTCCTGTTACCCTCTCTCACTGCCTTTCCTCTGGGGGAAACTGAGGACCAAGGGCATGAAGAGATGCCCACTCTGTGAGCATACTGATGTGTGTTTTCACCCATGTTAACAACGAGCTTAACACAAGTGCTGAAACAAAAGCGACCTCCCCTTTGTCCCCACTGCACCAACCAAGGCTATGCTAACCCCTGAAGGCTCAGCTCTCACATCTCCTGTCACATCTCTGCTGACAGCCAAGCCCACTGATGAAGAGCACGACTGTGCTTGGGAGGAAGGGCTCTGCCAGTTCCCAGCTGTATGACCTCAACCTCACTGTGCCTCAGTTCTTTCCTCTGTAAAATGTACTCCTCCATAGGACCGTGGTATACATTAAGTGTGGATATATGGTGAGCCCATAGGACATTGCTAGGCACCTACGAGTTCAATATATCAGCTCCTATAATTAATAGTAGCTCTTTTATTAATTGAATATTGTTGTTGCTGTTACCTGTAACATTAGGCCCTATGCACATATACAGATATCCCAGTTCCTGTAAGAGACTGTGTGGTCCCTGGGGGAACAGAGCATGGTGATCTTGCCCCAGTGAGATCTACTATAGCATGTGACAGATGCAGCATGGGTCCCATGTCTTCCTCACCACCTGAACACAGCAGATGCTCCACAAATACAGACAACCAACTATGTAACTCTTGGAAGAAATGACTGCTAATCTTATGCTCTGTGAGGTAAAAATGTTGTTGGAAGATATACAAAATTTCAGGACTGGATGAAGATCACGTTTATTCAACCTTTTCTCTGCCACTAACACACACACAAGATTGTTAAATTCCTTCTGGAACATCCTTGGCAAGTGGCCTTGTCTTTCGCATAGAGATGGCACAAAGGATTCGTCTTGCATGCTCAGCTCTGGTGGGGGACTGGTGCCTGCAGTAGTATGAAGATGGATTCCGAACATGTACTCGAGGCTCAACTTCAAACATTCTGTGATGAATTAGTGATGCCTATCCTGATTTCTGAAATGAGGGGGAAGCACGTGGTACTAAATCGTTCCCATCGCTACAGATCTCTAAATGAGAGAACGTGCTACCTCCAAAGATGCCAAGTGTATATAAAAATCCTTTAGTAATAGAAAAATATAAAATCAATTATGGCTTATGTTTTGAATAAATTGTTGTTTTACATTGTTTGGTCTGCCTATTTTCCATTTCTCTTCCTTCTATTATGAAAAAGTAATGATGTAAATTGGCAAGGCAACAATGAACAAATATCTTCGTTCTTGCATTTGTTCATTCATGAATTCATTCACTCACTCACTCAATGTATTTGGCCAATACATTGACCTTTTGCAAGTGATTGACTCTCTCGGCGCCTCTTTTTCCTCATCTGAAAAAAGGGAATAATAGCACAGAGTTTATGTGTCATAGGCTTGCTAGCCGACTGAATGAGACATGAGACACAGCATGGGAAACACAGTGTGGCACATACTACACACTCAATGAGCAGTAGCTCTCATCAGAACTCTATGTGCTGGGTCCTGAGTCAAGGAATGGTACCACGGAGATGAACAAGATGTGGTCCTTGCTCTCAAGGGGGACTAGCAGTGACTGAATTGCTATGACTGATAAAAGCACAGGCTGCTTTGAAAGTACACAGAAGGGGAAGCTAGCCTCGACTTGGGCCCTGGTAAAGAACGTCTGCCTGCAGAAAATTATATCGAAGCCAAGTTTTCAAAGGTAAATAAGAGATCTCCTTAACCAAATCTTAGATAGCCAATGAAGTTAAATAATCTACCCAGTACTTTGGGAGGCTGAGGTGAGAGGACTGCCTGAGCCCGTGGGTTCGAGACCAGCCTAGGCAACATGGCGAGATCTCATCTCTACAATAATTTAAAAAATTAGCTGGGCGTGGTAGTGCATGCCTGTAGTTCCAGCTACTTGGAAGGCTGAGGTGCCTGAGCCCAGCAGATCAAGGCTGTGGTGGCCAGGAACATGCCACTGCACTCCAGCTTGGGTGATAGAGTGAGACTCCTACTCAAAAAAAAAAAATCTAAAAATAAGGCTGAGTGAGGCCAGAGGTGGCTAATAGGGTAGATTAGATATACTAGTCCTAAAAACACCTTATCAGTGTTTGCCTTATGGGATAAAAGACTGTGTAAATTGAATCCTCTTTTTTTAAAAAATTTTTTATTTTAAAGATGTGGGGTACAAGTCAGGATTAGGTATACAAATGTTCATTATGCTGAGCCCGCGGGTTTGATACCCGCCTCGGCAACTTGGCGAGACCTCATCTCTACAATAAATCAAAAATCAGCCAGGTGTAGTAGCGCGTGCCTGTAATTCCGGCTACTCGGAAGGCTGAGGTGGAAGGATTGCCGGAGCCCAGCAGGTCGAGGCTGTAGTGGCCAGGAGCGGCTACTGCACTCCAGTCTAGGCGACAGAGTAAGACTCCCACTCAAAATAAATAAACAAATGTTCATTATGCAGGCACCCTTGTTGATGAGGTGTGTCCCCCACTTACCTGGCAGATTTGAAGCCCCTTTTAAAGATCACAATGTAAGGGACATATACCACATAAAGTTACCTGGCTGTGCTGCTTACAGGTAGCCAATAGCAGCCCATTCCGTGCAGGAACTCTATGCCCCTAATGACTATTTGGAAATCTTGTTGAAGCACATGTCCTGTCTGTGCTCTGCCCATCTAAATCTCACTTTTAGGTCAAAGATCAGTTTAAATACGCTTCTTACCCCCAAAACCTTCTTTCTAGGTGAAATTCTCCTTTCTGTGCACTCCTAAATCACTTGTTCTGATTTCAGCCCCTCGGATACCTGTTACACAAGTCCTTATATTTTTAGGGTGCACATTTTTCAGCAGCCTTAAGGACAGTGGCCATATCTTCCATTTTTTGTGACCTGTAGTGTCCAACAATATCATCTACACAAAGGGGCCTCCGACATCTTTCTGTTTATTAAACTCAGTTTTTCCAGTTCAGTTATCTAATCCAAGTCTTTTCCTGTACTGCTATGAGGAGAGAAGCAGAAAAAGATAAAGAGAAGGGTTTTATATACGTACTTTATTAAGCCATCTTCCATGTAAATATCAGCATAAAAGGATTGATCATCATTGACAATCCTGCCTCCCTTGATGAGGAGACGGTCACTCTGGAAAAGAAGGAAAGCATAAGTTATTCTCACAGTTAAGATTTCAGAGGAGAGTAGTCTGCCAAGGTTTTCCTGATTCATTGTTCCAGACGTCTAGTAGAAACATATTATCTATAGACATCTGTGTGCTCACACACTCAACATTTAAACTAAATGTACCTGTTGGGGACCCAGTCTTTCTCGTTTTCCCGTAATTCAAATTGTTCTAGAGTTTCACCTCTTGCTTCTGCAACTTATCATGGCCTCTTGGAAACATAGCTACTCAAGTATGCAAGACATTCCTTATATTATATTTTCTGGTTCAATAGGCACTAAATATTTAAAGTAGGATAATATATGTCTCAGTGCCTAGCACAGTCTGGTACTCTTAACACTCAATGGTGATCCTCAAAAATAAAATTTAGGATTAGGTATACAATGAGGCAAGCTTTTAACAGTATTTATAATGACATGAAGACATGCTTAGATCATGTTACGTTTAAAATTCCAGATACTTAGGCATGTATGCACACAGAGTTGTGAAATGTGTAAGTCTTGTCTTGGAAACAAGACATCTATGGTATTTAACTCACTGGAGAAATTATGCAAAATTTATATTTGCCCCATTATACTCAGTATTTCTCACATTTTTGAGTGTATTTCTTTATTGCTTTAACTGTGAGAAAAATAAAGTCTTTTTACAAATTATAACTTAGATAAAATTTGGATAAGTGGTCCAGGTGGAAACAATGCAAATACGCTCCAAAGTTATAAACAAAATAAACACATATTTTATATATGTCATGAGAGGCACAAATCAGTGTCAGCTCTACAGAGCACACACTTCATTAAATAAATGAAACTTATACTGGAATATGAGGGATGGATGCAGCATTGCTGGGTTTGTGGAGGAGAAAAGAATTCCTAGGAGCCTGGCTGTGTGGAGCTTCAGCATGAACAAAGAATAGGATGCTGGATCCTGCGTGGAAAGTTCAGCTTAAAAGACTTCAGCTCCCTCTATCTATCCATCATCTACCCACTCACCCGTCCATCAGTTCAACTACCCATCCAGCTGCCCATCTACCAGCCTACCTGCCCATCAACCATTCATTCATCTATCCATCCATCCATCCATCCATCCATCCACTCATCATCCATTCATTCACCCACCCACTCACCCACCCATCCATCCATCCATCATCCATCCATCCATCCATCCATCCACCCACCCACCCATCTGTCCACTCATCTACCCACTTACCCATCCATCCATCTACCAACCCACCTACCTCTCCCACTCATCCACTCATCATCCATCCATCCACCCACACACCAACTCTTCCATCCATCCATCCATCCATCCAACCACCCATTCATTACCAGGCCATGGCGTTACAGAACTTTAAGGGGAAGTATGGCGATAAAGTCAACAAAACAATGTAAAATTGTATTAAATGTCATAGATGATAAGGCAGTGGGGCTTGTTTCGACAGAGGCTGGAAAAGGTCTTTTTAGGGGTGGGAGGAACAGCATATGCAGAAGCCCTGAAGTAGGAATACATTTTGCTTCTTTGAAAGCCTCAAAAAGATCAATGTGGAAGGAGCTTAGGGTTCAAAGAAGAAAGTGACAGGTGAGAAAGGTGGGGAGATGGGCAGGCTCATTGTCCTGGGATTGCTAGGAGTTGGAGTGTGAATGGAAATACACTGAGACACATAGAAGGACTGTGAGCAGGGGAGTGGAGCCCTGTGTGCAGGAGACCATCTTCACGCTGCTCAGGGCAAATGTGCTCCATGGCCACATGACTATGGAATTAAGGGCTGTCAATCAGTGGAACAAGGGCAAGAAGACAGACAGGACTACCACCATCACTCTCTTGATGCTGATTTCTGGACCGTCTGAGAACCTCAGCCTTCAGAGGATAGAAGCTGTGAGGTGAGGAAGCCCCACAGACAAGCTGGCTTGTGGATTCAGAAGTGACAGGGCCTGAAGGTGAGCGTGGAAGGTTGGCCCACCCGGAATTCAGAAAATCACCACTCAGCTTCTCCCACTTGCAAGGTATTGTATGAGAATAAGACATTCCATCAGGCCATATTGTCAGGAGAAAGGAGTTTTAAAAGATACAGATCCATGGGGTGTCTAGAAAAATCCTCATATGTGGCAGAGAGACTGCTAAGGAGGTCAAGCAGCAACGCCTACCACATATGGTATACACGTCCCCCACACTCTGGTCTCTGCCCACAAGTCACTCTCTTTCTATCATGCACTGCCTGGTATTTTAGACAGAGGGAAATCAATGAAACATGCAGTCCTAGTTACGTATCAGGTTCTCTAGCCTTTGGGTCTTTGCACATATATCCTCTGTGTCTTTTCGTCTATTCACCTGGCAGCTAGCAACCATCTTCTCTGTCACCTCCAGTCACAGGTCTTCCCCAGGAGGCATTCCCTGACCCTCTGGGAAGATTTCACCTGCTCCCACTGCAATTTAGTTGGAACAGTTACAATTTTTCTATAGTAGTTGATTTATTGTTCGATGATCCCCTGACGACACCAAAGGTCCTTTCGTCCTGAAACCATGTATCATTCCATCTTTCCACCTTCCTTCCTGGAACCCATCACAGACAGCTGCCACATATTGGTCAGGTGAGTGGGTGAAGGGGAGACACAGGAGGCTGTATTATAACTGCATGATAGAAAGGCATCTGAGGCAGAAAATTATGTGAGGTGATCAGACAATGGGAATTTTCAGAAAAAAAGAGAAGGCTGTTGAAATCTACTATTTTAGCAGTGCTGCAAAATCACAAGGCAGTCCTAGGTCTGTGCTTCCAAACTAGTATGCACATTAGAAAAATGCACATCCCCAGGCCCTGCTCTGGGTCAGCAATCTGTGTTCGATATGCTCCACCGCTGGCTCTAAGCAGCCATCAGCCTGCCTGACACCACGTCACAGCCCAGCCCTGGGAGGCGACCCCACACAGCTCCGTGTGTCTGTGGAGGTGACAGACCAGCAACAACAGGGGCGTCATCATAACAACAATCCTGGTAGGGCAACCCTCTCAGGTCCCTCCCACGGTGGGGGCTTTTCTGTCCTCTCAATAAATCTTGCTTTCCAAAAAAGAGGCCAATCATGGTTAACTCCAAATGCTCCCTCTCAGCTCCGTGCTTTCTGATTGTCTTTATCTTGTCAGTGAAGGTCTGAACTAAACTGGGTTCTGAAAAGGGGCCAGTTTCTGTCTGGACTGGAGTCAGTTATGAAATACGACCAGCCTAGGGACATCCAGCCCTGAACCACAGGTGTGATCTCACACCCTTCTACAAGCGCCACGTGTCAGTAGAGAGGCAAAGGCCACCTCAGGCCTATGTGCATCGGGGGACAATAAGAGCTGATCCCGGTGGAATTAACACCATTGAGATGGTGTCACCGGAAACTCTTCAAATGATCATTAAATAAGCACTCTCTGCCTCAAAAATCTGGAATCTAAACAGAATCTAAGCAAAGACAAATGACAGGCCTGGTTTAGGTTTCAGAGAATGGAGTAACAAAATCTTTGCTCCATGGACGGTAAGTATTATTATTTGTTTTGTCATGCAGAGCATAAATATCAAAATCTGTACTCACAGAGCTCAAAAAACGCTTCCCCTGGGGGTCCTCAGCTTGCTACCACCCCCCTAAAAATACTTGATTAATGTTAACTCTTTCCATGCAAGGAAAAATCGCTGCAGGAGTCTGAAAGGCAGTTTTCGGGCTAGGCACTGAGGAATGTGGACTGGGGATGACATAACTACCGGTCACCCACAGGCCACATAAAATCAAACTTCACTGAATGCAAAGGACATCTGTCTATGAATTCACACACCAGCCCTACAGGTAAACACATGCTAGGTTCAAAAACCAACATGATGAACAAACCTCATACCTATGAATAGGAGTCATCCTCTGTGATGAATGCAGCTCTGTGGGGTCTTTGCTTCCTGCTCCTGGCAGCCGAGGCAGCCAAGCACCCAAATACCCAGAGCTGATACCTGAGGGGTCACATGGTATCATTTGGAGCTCAGCATCTTTCTCGCATCATGACATTCATAAGGAATGATAGTACTTCTAGAGCACACTGTGGTAATCTGGAGGGTGTCTGGAGCCCCAAATGAAGCTATTCAGAGCCTCAAGCAACCAGTCGGGGGCTCAGTCTTAGGCTCTGCATAGCCACTGTGGGCTGAGTGTGTCACTGCCTTGTAGCCCAGTGGGGCGCCAGGTGCACCAGCTGGCAAGCTTGGATCCAGCTGGGTCTCCCACTACTGGAGAACCAGACTGACCACTTAGCTAGGTGTTAACCTAACCATCAGGTCTTAACCTCTCAGAGCTTCAGTGGTTTCAACAGACCAGAGTGGACAATGATACCCAGCTTACCTCACAGGGTGACTGCCAGGAATGAGGAAAAAAAGTATGTGTGTGTGTGTGTGTGTGTGTGTGTGTGTGTGTGTGTGTGTGTGTGAGAGAGAGAGAGAGAGAGAGAGAGAGAGAGAGAGAGAGAGACAGAGAGAGATTTAGCATACAGTAAATAGTCCATAAATATTATATTTACCCTAATAAAATATTTAAGTACTTTTACTTTTTTAAAGCCTCAAGAATTGTGGTGAGTGACTATTGCTCCCGTTTTCCAAATGGGGAGACGTTCGCCACTCCAGGTGACAGGTTTGAGTAGTACCAGCTGGAAGGAATCCAGGTCTCCCACCCATGGCACCACACTGAATCCCCAAGGCCACTGTACCAAGTATGTTTAAGCCTCAGACATGCCACCCCCTTCGACAGGGCTCTTCTTGGTTTGACACTGAATCTGACTGTTCCAGTGCTGAAACTGCTGACAAGTTCTCTGTAGTGGGCACTTTAGGAATCCAGTCGGTAACTTCTAAGCCACTACTTATAAAATCAATGCATTTGAACTGCCCCTTATGGCCTGCATGTGTTAATGCAGTTTATAAAGGGACCTAATTTACAACCCAGGTAGCACAGGCCCTTAAAGTGTGAT